TGTCTTGTAAGATTGTAGTGTGTCTTGTAAGACTGTAGTGTGTCTTGTTAGACTGTAGTGTGTCTTGTTAGACTGTAGTGTGTCTTGTAAGACTGTAGTGTGTCTTGTAAGACTGTAGTGTGTCTTGTAAGACTATAGTGTGTCTTGTAAGACTGTAGCTTGTCTTGTAAGACTGTAGTGTGTCTTGTTAGACAGTAGTGTGTCTTGTAAGACTGTAGTGTGTCTTGTTAGACTGTAGTGTGTCTTGTTAGACTGTAGTGTGTCTTGTAAGACTGTAGTGTGTCTTGTAAGAAAGTAGTGTGTCTTGTAAGACTGTAGTATGTCTTGTAACACTGTAGTGTGTCTTGTAAGACTGTAGTGTGTCTTGTAAGATTGTAGTGTGTCTTGTAAGACTGTAATGTGTCTTGTAAGACTGTAGTGTGTCTTGTAAGACTGTAGTGTGTCTTGTAAGACTGTAGCTTGTCTTGTAAGACTGTAGTGTGTCTTGTAAGACTGTAGTGTGTCTTGTAAGACTGTAGTGTGTCTTGTTAGACTGTAGTGTGTCTTGTAAGACTGTAGTGTGTCTTGTAAGACTGTAGTGTGTCTTGTAAGACTGTAGTGTGTCTTGTAAGACTGTAGCGTGTCTTGTAAGACTGTAGTGTGTCTTGTAAGACTGTAGTGTGTCTTGTAAGATTGCAGTGTGTCTTGTAAGACTGTAGAGTGTCTTGTAAGACTGTAGCGTGTCTTGTAAGACTGTAGTGTGTCTTGTAAGACTGTAGTGTGTCTTGTTAGACAGTAGTGTGTCTTGTAAGACTGTAGTGTGTCTTGTAAGACTGTAGTGTGTCTTGTAAGACTGTAGCTTGTCTTGTAAGACGGTAGTGTGTCTTGTAAGACTGTAGTGTGTCTTGTAAGACTGTAGTGTGTCTTGTAAGACTGTAGTGTGTCTTGTTAGATAGTAGTGTGTCTTGTAAGACTGTAGTGTGTCTTGTAAGACTATAGTGTGTCTTGTAAGACTGTAGTGTGTCTTGTAAGACTGTAGTGTGTCTTGTAAGACTGTAGTGTGTCTTGTAAGACTGTAGTGTGTCTTGTTAGACTGTAGTGTGTCTTGTAAGACTGTAGTGTGTCTTATAAGACAGTAGTGTGTCTTGTAAGACTGTAGTGTGTCTTGTAAGATTGTAGTGTGTCTTGTAAGACTGTAGTGTGTCTTGTAAGACTGTAGTGTGTCTTGTTAGACTGTAGTGTGTCTTGTGAGACTGTAGTGTGTCTTATAAGACTGTAGTGTGTCTTGTAAGACTGTACCGTGTCTTGTAAGAAAGTAGTGTGTCTTGTAAGACTGTAGTATGTCTTGTAAGACTATGGTGTGTCTTGTAAGACTGTAGTGTGTCTTGTAAGACTGTAGTGTGTCTTGTTAGACTGTAGTGTGTCTTGTAAGACTATAGTGTGTCTTGTAAGACTATATAGATTTACTGTTATGCAGACTACAGCATTATTGTAATAACTGCATAAATAATGTCAACCCATTCATGACTGCATATTGGAATGGACAGTGGCGTCATTTGTTTACTCTTGACCATCAGCAAAATAGAACATTTCTGCTACTCTGAGCTCAATTTCAAGGTACTTTTTGTTGTGAAATCAATCAAAATCATATCTATTTCTGTAATATTACAGTGGACCCCCGCATAACGATTACCTCCGAATGCGACCAATTATTTAAGTGTATTTATGTAAGTGCGTTTGTACGTGTATGTTTGGGGGTCTGAAATGGACTAATCTACTTCACAATATTTCTTATGGGAACAAATTCGGTCAGTACTGGCACCTGAACATACTTCTGGAGTGAAAAAATATCGTTAACCGGGGGTCCACTGTATCTTCCATTCTATCAAATGAAACCAACAAAACGAGAATACAACCATAAAAACCATACGAAAATACTGCTAAAGGGCAGCTAATGGCTGAGAAGTGAACTCCATTATTTATGGTCCGATTTCTTTCATTTTTGGTGTACGTTAAGAAGCATCTTTCCATCATGCATTGCCCAAGTTTCAATAAGATAGTCCAACAAACAAATGAGATCCAGTTCCCTAGATCAAGAGCAAGAGCCCCTCACCAGCATCAAGGAACCTCCCTTGAGGCCCACTAGCTTATGGAAATTTCGCTCACTTATGGAAGCAAAAAATTGACTGAGTGACTGCTCATGTTTGGAAAAACTCACATCGATGCGCTCGCAAGTGGAGGTTCCACTGTATTTGTAAATTAGGGGGAATCACAGATAGCGAGAGTAAGTCTATTTTGTTTTGGATGTAGGCATGATACGAGTAATAGTATAGGTAGTTTTCATGTAATTAGCTGATGGTGGAGTGTGTTAGGGAGATGTTTTCTAACGGTAGTTTTGAAATGGTGGTTGAGTCTGCAGTTCTAGTTTTCAGGCAGGGAGTTCCAGATTTTAAGCTCTTTTATGTACACTGACTTTTTGTATAGATTTAGCCAGACACAGGGAATGTCATAGAGATTTTTGTGCCTGGTATTGTGCCTATGGGTCCTGTCACAACTATCAAGAAAGCATTTTAGTTCAGAGTTAATATTGGAATTTATGGTTCTGTAAATGTAGGTTGCACAGATGTTCTGAACAGTGAGTAAGTTTAGGTCTTTGAAGAGTGAGGGAGTGTGTTGCCTAGTATTGGATTGCATGATAATTCTTACTGAGGCTTTTTGTTGTGTTATTATTGGCTTTAGGTGGGTTGCTGCTCTTGATCCCCAAGCACAAATGGCATATGTGAGGTAGGAATAGATGAGTTAATAGTGCTGCATGACCCATAGCCATCTTGTGAATATATAACAATAGCAATAATAGTACATAAATCGCATTTCCTAACATAGAAAAAACATTGCAAATACTTTTGTGTATCAGGTTATAAACTGCTCAGGAAGTGTAGTAGTTTTTACATCTGAAATGTATCAAGAAAGAACAGGAAAATACTACAAGCTCAGTGCTGAATGGCCCATACAGGCTTAACACTTTTTTTTTTTGTGAATATAGCCTCTCCTCACTTAACAACGGAGTTCTGTTCCTATGACCACATCGGTAAACAAATTCGTCGCTAAATGAGGAGCATATTATAATGGTAGTGGGTTTGTGTCAACCATCTTTGATACTGTTTTAATGTCACCTTTGCACCATTTATAACATTTTAGTATATTTTTATAAATGTTTATACAGTAATGTACTGTATATTGTAATAAACAGAATAGAGGAAATTAGCTCTAATATACATTATTTAGGTTTGTATACTGGTCAGAGAGCCCGTCATAAGTCCAAGTTGCTGGTAAACGAGTATGTCGCTAAGTGAAGAAAGGCTATACTGTAGTATGTTTAGACACATGAAAGCTACCTTTTTGGAACACTCAAGCTATTATGTGCTGTACACCCAAAATGTCAGAGTGGACCTTGCTGCCACTCATTTAGCTCAGCTATGCCTCTTGCCTTTCTCTACAAATGGATTCCTATATAAGCAGTCCATCTAGCTGAAGCCAGCTGTTCATCACACTAGATGAGTCAGCTGATGTCAGGCTGTGGCTATTTCCATGATTCATTCTATGAATTTCAAAAGATGTTTTCCATACTATAAGATGTGGTACAGTATTCTGGGAATTGATTCTGATGAATCATCACATACTGTAAGCATATCTATCAACTGTAGGCAGAATCATGATATTCCTACACATGAGACATGGAAGAGGGGAGTGCCATTGTGCAATGACCCTTCCAAATGTACAATAATGTACGAAGTTAGAAACATAAGAGGCAGCTGCAGTGGAATATGTTTTGCTCTGCAAGCATAATAGAGGGAAGGTTGTACCTGCATGACTTTCTGTAACAGTTGTGGGAATACATGGAAAAGTGGAATTAAGCTTGGTGACTGAGTTCATGTCTGACACAGCTCAATGACTGTATAAAAACCAGCTTTAGGAAACTGGTGCTAACATTGTATGTGACACTGCAACACTCATGCCATTTACACAAATCATGTCTTGTGGCACCCAAAGCACCCTATCTGAGAACCAAGAGTTGCTTCATTGTAGGACATCACTAAATAGTGGGGAGATAATCAGTAGCTATGATTTTACATACAGTACAGAATATTTTTTGAACATGGGAAGATGTAAGCATAATTATAGTTATGGATAAGGACAAATAATAGTATACATCAAAGACTTTAGTAATTATTTGTAGTACATATATTTACAAATAAAACAACTGTTTTTACATGGTGATACAATTAGCTGCTGTTGGGCGGTTTGTTTTCTTCTGAAGTCCCCAGTACATCTTTCTCCACTTCTGCTATACTTATGTTCTGTAATTTAAGTGCCCTCTGTGGAGAGAAAAAAAGTACACACTGTATATTGCAAAAGACAAATACAGGAAACAAAAGATCAAATGTTGCACAAATATACAGGCCTGAAATCAATAAGCCTTTTTGTTTATTATTTTTTATTAACCCTTTGACTGTTTCGGTCATATATATATGTCTTACGAGCCACCGTGTTTGACGTATTAATACGCCAAAATTCTAGCGGCTTCAAATCAAACAGGAGAAAGCTGGTAGGCCCACATGTGAGAAAATGGGTCTCCATGGTCAGTGTGCACCATATAAAAAAAATCGGGGAGCCAGTGGTGCATTGTGGAATGCCATTTCAGTAGTCTTTGTTCATCATGCCTAGCGGTAAGATATATCTGACTCCCCGGCAAATCTCTTCCCAAGTAATGCTCTAACACAGATGGAAGTGTCGGTGAAGATCAATTTCATGGTTTTGAGGAGTTTGTGACCAAAAGCATTGCCCAGGATACGAGAAAAATGAAAGAGAATGAAGAATGAAAGAGAATGAAGAATGAAGGAAAGAGAGAGTGAGAGTGAGAGAGAGAATGAGGGAGAATGAAGGAGAAAGATACAGTAATTAGGTAGGAGGATGGAGGGGAAGCCAGCATTTGACCCCACTGTTCTGACAGGTGGTAGGGGGAGTGAGTAATGATACAATATGTCATTTTGAGAGCTGCAGGACACACACTCACACACAACATGAGCTTGCTGAAGATAATAACAGTTATATGAAAGTGTCCAGTGACTATATACAGTGGTCCCTCAATAATCGACCGGCCTGAAAGTCGACCATTTCGGAAATCAACCGGTTTTTTCGACAAAATATTGACTCGGAAATTGACCGAAATTCGTTTATCGACCCGTCTCAACCCGTCGTCCCAGACGCGTATGCACGAGGTAAGCGGGCCTCGACCCGCCTCAGCCTTCCTTCCCAGCCAGTGTGCCATTGTTTACAGTTAGCGGCGGTCCTCTCACGTGCTCCAGTGACAAGAGGGATTTGGAAGGGTTTGGGGCTGACCCTGATGAGCCTATGTCAGTTTTGAACTCTATTGTGGCACTGGGGAGTTCCATGGGGTTGGATGTGAGTTTGGAGGATGTGGAAGAGTTGGTGGAGGACCACAACGAAGAGCTAACCACTGAGGAGCTGCAAGAGCTTCAGCAGGAAGAGCAACAGATCGCAGCTCAGAATCTTGCTGCAGAGGAGGAGGAAGAGAGATGGAAGAAGGTGCCTTCTTCAGAAATTAAGGAGATTTTTACTATGTGGGGTAAGATGGAAAGATTTATGGAGAAACATCACCCAGAGAAGGATGTTGCAAGCCATATCGGCAACTTGTACAGTGACAGAGTCTTGGCCCATTTTAGGGAAGTTTTAAAGAGACGCCAGAAACAGAGCTCTCTGCACAGTTATTTTGCGAGACAGGACTCCAGTGGACTCTCAAGCTGGTCCTAGTGGCATTAAGAAACAGAGAAAGAAGCAACCCCAGAAAAGCAAATGGTACCTGAGGTGTTGCTGGAAGGGGATTCCCCTTCCAAACTATAAACAATCCACTCTCTCCTCCTCCTCCAGTCTCCCATACACTAAGAAGAATCTCCAATAAAGGTAAGTGTTATGTTGTTAATGTTTCATTCATCATTTCCCATTGTATTGTTTATGTACTACATGAATATTTCATGTAAAAAATTTTTGTGTTTTAATACTTCTGGGTGTCAGGCACGGATTAATTGAATTTACATTATTTCTTATGGGGAAAATTGATTCGTAAATCGACCATTTCGATAATCGACGGCTTCCAGGAACGGATTACCGTCGATAATCGAGGGACCACTGTATGTGTATATATATTATAGAACAATAGTAATAAACAATCTTTGTATTGTTTGTGTATGTAAACAAGTTTTGTAAACAACATATTGATAATTATGTTTGTGCGCTTATTGTGTTGTATACAACGAGTGTATATATGTACATTACACCTTACTTTGGCCTCACAGGCCACATAAGTTACCTGAAAATATAAAGTAGTGGAAAAAGCAAGATACCTTCAAATGAGAGTAAAAATAAGTTTACCTGGTGAGCTGCATTCGCCACTGTTGCCATATGCGGCTCATTTTCTGCCAACTTTATGCCTCTATATCTCAGTAAGTACTGATGGCAATTTTTTTTTGGGGTTTTTTTTTTTGGGGGGGGGGGGGGGCTTTAAACAATCAGAAAAATAATCTTAACATTTTCATAAGAAATTTTTTTTTTTTTTTTTTCAAATATTTTTCGACACCAGGAGACACTTCAGGATTTGGGGTTTCAACAGTCAAAGGGTTAACGCATCGGCCGATTTCCACCAAGGCAGGGTGGCCCGAAAAAGAAAAACTTTTATCATTCACTCCATCATTGTCTTGCCAGAGGTGTGCTTTATGCTACAGTTATAAAACTGCAACATTAACACCCCTCCTTCAGAGTGTAGATACTGTAGATATGTAGTGGTGGTGGTGGTGGCAACAGAGATCACTACCACTGTTCACACTGAAACAATGTACGTAATTTATAAATAAGAAATATTTACACTTACTGTACCTTGCAGGAGATGCTGGCATTGGTTTACGGTGGTGGAAGATAGGCAGGGCAGCATATATTGTCAGTGGCCCTATATACCTCAAACAACATTGGAGGAGTCAGTTTCATGTCGTCCTTTTTCTATCGCTTAAACTTACTTGCTACACTGTTAATGCTACACTTTATCACTGGCTGGCGCTATAGCCTTTATTGACTCCTGCTGCTTTAGTATCGTACATATCGTAGAATCACTGAAGAAGGCACATTCTCCCCTCTCTCTTCCTCCTTCGCTTTCGTACTTTGCTACAGGTGGACGCATCCAATACAGCTGATAACCGAAATAAAGGCTGATAACCGGGATAAAATTTCAGCCAAAAACCGGGCGATAATTGAATTGGCTGATATCTGGAACAGCCAATAACCGAGGGTCCACTGTACCTGGTAATCTTCATCAATTTCAAGTCTTCCATTTAAGGGGTTAATTTGTTTTTAACCCCTTGACTGTTGCAACCCCAAATCCTGAGATGTCTCTTGGTGTTGCAAAATCCCCCCCCCCCCCCCAAAAAAAACAAAATTTCTTGTGAAATAACAGAATCTTTTCCCGATTGTAATGACACCAAAAGAACTAAATTTTATGGAAAACTGACGGAATTATGCTATCACAATTTAGCAACCTCGGCGATATTTACGAATCAGTGATTTCGTCCACTTTGAGCCCTATTTTCGGCTAATTCCATCGTTCCAGTCGACCAAACTCATAGCTATTTCTTTAGAACTCCATTTTTTCTATCGACTGAATACAAGAAACTGCCCATTTACCGATTTCAACTACCCAATAATGTGGTCAGAAATTTGCAATTTGGCTAATTTCACAAAAATTAAAAAATATGCCAATTTCAAAATGGGGTCCAGAATGAACATTGCAGACATTCCTGGCTCTAAGATAACATTTTCTTTGTTCATCAGTCACGTCCCCAGGCCCCTCTGATATTACTCTTGCTTTCTATTTTGAACTTTTATTCAAACAAAAAATAGAAGATTTACTGTTATGAAGACTACTGCAATATTATAATAATTGTATAAATAATGTCAACCCATTCATGACTGCATATTAGAATGGCTACTTGGACATTTATTGGAAAATGACATCATTTGTTTACTTTTGAACATCGGCAAAAATCAAACATTTCCCCTACTTTGAGCTCCATTTCCAGGTTCTTTTCATAGTAAAACCAATCAAAATACCTCTATTTCTATAATATGTTTTCCATTCTATCAAATGAGACCAAGAAAACGAGAATACAACCATAAATACTATATGAAAATAGACCACAAAGTCGCATTTTAATTAAAAAAAACGGTTGGAGTTTTTTTTTTTTTTCTCATTATGCACTGCGTGCTGCAGGATTTTTTTTATATGGTGCACACTGACCACACAGACCCATTCTCTCACATGTGGGCCTACAAGCTTTCTCCTGCTTGATTTGAAGCCACTAGAATTTATGAGTATACGTATATACGTCAAACACGGTGGCTCGTAAGATGTATATATACGACCGAAACAGTCAAAGGGTTAATATACACTCATTTAATCAATCAATCATGTGGCAGCACCTCAATGCCTAAAAGCATGCAGACATAAGGAATAAGGAAGAAATAAGAATAAGGAAGAAATTTGATCCAAGTGACTTGGACAGTGAGATGATTGTTAGTGCCAGACAGAATGGTTCAAGTATCTTAAACTGCTGATCTCCTGAGATTTCCATGCACAACAGCCTCTAGAGTTTACAGAGAATGGTGTGAAAAACACAAAACATACAGTGAGCAGTGGTTCTATGGGCAAAAATGACTTGTTAATGAGAGAGATCAAAGGAGAATGGCCAGACTGGTTCAAGCTGACAGGAAGGCAACAGTAACTCAAGTAACCATGCATAACAAGAATGGTATGCAGAAGAGTATCTCTGAACACACAGCACATTAAACCTTGAAGTAGATGGACTACAGCAGCAAAAGACCATACCAGGTTTCATTCCTGTCACCTAAGAACAAGAAACTGAGGCTACAGTGGGCACAGGCTCACCAAAACCGGATAGATGAAGACTGCAATACCATCGATGGTTAACGCATTGCAATTTCTACTGTGACAAGCAGACGGAAGGGTCAGAATTAGGCATAAACAACATGAATCCATGGACCCATCCTGCCTTGTATCAATGGTTCAGGCTGGTGATGGTGGTGTAATAGGTAATGTTTTCCTGGCACACATTAGGCCCCATAATACCAACTGAACATTGTTTAAATACTACAGCCTACGTGAGTATTGTTGCTGACCATGTGCATTCCTTTATGGCCACAGTCTACCCCATCTTCCAATTGCTACTTTCAGCAGGATAATGCACCAAGTCACAAAGCACATGTCATCTCAAGCTGGTTCCACAAACATGAC